CCGACGGAACAAAAGCAATGATGGGACGCATAACGGGATTGGCTGGACTTTTGTGGAAAAATTGTGTTAACTGTGTTATGTTTCATTGCATTATCCATCAAGGGGCTCTCTGCGAAAAGATAATTGAAATCAACGATACAATGAAAACTGTAGTGCAGATAGTAAACAGCTTAAGAGGAGGAAACAGAGCTCAACGACACCGAAAATTTATTTTTTTCTTGGAGAAATGAAATACTGAATATAATTACGTCCCCCTACATTCAGAGATACGCTGGTTGAGTAGAGGTAAATGCCTTAGAATTTTTTTTCTTTAAGAAAAAATATCTATTTGTAACAAAGCTTAAGGAACAAAACATTTTTTCACCTTTACCTCTCACTTGAACACATTAAACCTATAACTCCAGGGGAAAAATAAGACAGTATTACAGTTGGTTGGTCAAATTGAAACATTTTGCAAAAAAACTTGATCTTTTCGAGAACTGCATGAAAATAAACGATCTCACACTTTTCCTGCGTGTTTCAAAATAAATCAAGAAGAAACCATGGTCGATTTCTCGACGTTTGCAAAGTTCTTACAGAAATAAAAAGAGAATTCGATGAAAGGTTTTCGGAATTTGATGCAATAAAACCCGATCTTGAGCTTTTTAACAATCCAATTGAATTAATTACTATTTAACTGGGAATAAGCCACAATTAAAGATAAAAATACGTTTATTGACGTTTCAATTTCCACTTCGGAAATCGTTCTCAAAATACAAACAGTAAATTAAACAAATTTTGGTTTTTTTTTTTCATAGTGAAAAATTCTTCTAATAATTTAATTTTATCTGACTCATTTATATTGACAATTCAGACATACATTATGCATTTTAAAGTAGACGACTTTAAAATGATATTGCCAATATTGTTGAGTTGCGCTCCTGGGACGACTTTACTTATAAGATAGTTCATTCGATTACATGAAATCAACTTTAACTTGAGAATATCCGTCAGAAAAAAATCATAGCATGTAATTCGTCTTTAAAAAGACAAACATATGACATGATGACAGTAAAATTCTCCTGTTAGTGATTCCACAGTAAATTATGAGGGAAAAACCAGGAAAAAAAACCTCATAATACTATCCCGACATTGTAAGTATTTGTTCGTGAATTTAGTTTACCTTCAACAAACATCAAAATTCTGATTTTATATGTTACGTTATTTAAAAAACATAAATGATGTATCCTCTATATAACTAATACTGGTATTTTCTTATTAATAACTTCCTCTTTCAATATTGGTAACCAGATCCTACTACATTCTGCCGAGGAATTTGCGACACAATTGGCCTCATTTAGCATAATTAGAGCCGCTTCTTTGATTTTTCTTTTTTTACCATCCGTTAAGATTGATGTTCACTTATTCTAACATTTAATGGCCTTGATGATTCACCTAAATAAAACTGATGGCATTCACAAGGTATTTTATAAATGCAATTCTTTGTCCTTTCTTGTTCATTGTTAGGTTTGGTTTTGGACAAAATAGATCTCATCGTGTTTTTTGTTTTTGAATGTTGTTGAAATGTTGAATTTATTTCCTATCCTTTTAAGTTTTTCTGATATTCCTTTTATGTACGGTATTGTTATTTTCCTCATATTATTCCTTGTGTATGCTGGGGGATCTCGTTCTAAGTTGTTCTGTTCTATTCGATCGATTGTTGAAAATTCCTTATTTATAAACGATAAAGGATAATCATTTTTTAATAAAACAGATGTTAACAAATGTTTCTCCTCCAAGAACGAATTTTCGTTTAAACAAGTAATTTTGGCTCTATCGTATAAGGATTTAATTATTCCTTTTGTTACATTAATATTGTGATTTGATTTGAAATTTAAATATCTATTGGTGTATGTTGGTTTTCTATACACCTGAGTCTCATATCCAGTATCGTTCTTAGAGATTAAAACATCCAGGAAAGGTAGCGTGTTATTATATTCCTTTTCCATGGTAAATGTTATTGTCTCTTCTTTATCGTTTATATCATTTAGGAATGTGTCCAACAACTCTGATCCATGAGGCCATATTGAGAATACATCATCTACATACCTCCACCATACTGTGGGTTTGAAATTTTGTTTAGAAATGATATTTGTTTCAAAATCTTCCATAAATATATCGGCTAAGAATGGAGATAAACTAGAACCCATTGCTAGACCAAAATTTTGTTTATAGAATTCATTATTTAGTTGAAAATATGTATTATCAGTACATAATATATAGCCGATATGTTTAGTCTTGTTCTAGTTGCCAATGAATCATCACTCTCTAATTTTGTCTTGACTATACTTAAAGTCTTATTTAATGGCACATTCGTAAATAAACTATTTATGTCAAAACTTACCAAAGTATTATTTGAATTAAATTTAATATTTGATAATTTATTTCAAAATGTTGTGTATTTTTTATGAATGTGTCATTTTTATTTGTAAATGGTTTTAAAATATTTAATAAAAATTTTGATAGTTCACTACAAGGAAAATTCATGGTACTACAAATGGGTCTAAGTGGTATATTTGTTTTATGAATTTTCGGTACTCCATAAAAATGAGGAGTCTTACTGTAATGAGGTGTAATTAATCCTCTCTGATAACTTGTTAAAACATCTTTAATTTTGAATAAAGTTCTATATATTTTGTTTTCCAAAGGCTTTGTTGGATCTTTTGTTAGTTTTGTATAAGGTCCGTTTATTAATAGATCTTTAATTTTATTTTCGTATTGAATTTTATCCATTATCACAGTTGCATTCCCTTGTCTGCTGCGTAGGATAATCATGGAGTCGTCATTGTTTATAATAATATTAATATTAATATATTAATCAGAACAATATTAATCCAATTGAAGTCAACATCTAGAACCAATCAGCAGAATACCAATTAGAGATGTGCAAACTACAGTCCCATTCGTTTTTTTTAAGCAAAGAAAAATGAAGACATTAGTACCTTTTAGAAGTTAGTCCCCAATGATCATTTTCCTAAACTTCGTAATTTTGCGTTGAAACTATATTCAATGTTTGGTAGTACGTATACATGTGAAAGTACATTTTCTGCTTTGAAGCATATTAAATCTAATACACGTAATCGCATGGAAAACGATTATCTGGAAGCGTGTATTAGACTCACTACGACTAGCATAGGTATAGATGTGCAAAAGTTAGTAGAGGATGAACCCTTGCACCAAATATCCCATTGATTTTTTATTTTATGTTAAATTTTAAACATAACATGTAAATTGTAAAATACTTGTAAATAATATTTCGTTTCTATATTATTTTCTAAAATAAACTTTTTTTGAACAAGTCGAGTTCTCTGATCCCTCATAATAATTTCAAATTTCATACGGCCCGCAACGTCTAAAAGGTTGGACCACATTGATCTAGATTATCTGAGAAAACTATGGTGTCATCAAGGTATCTGACTTAATTCAACCATTTACCATTTATTAATATTCCTTTGACCCTCCCTTCCAGGACTTTCCTAAAGACACATTCAGGCTATGCATTGAATAACAGAGTAAAAACACATTCCTGTCGTACCCCCCGTTCTATTATAGTTTTATCAATTATCGGATCTTATATTTTGATTTTCACCGTTTGGTTGAAATAAATGTTTCTTATAATTGTCATGTTTTTGTCGTCTATTCTAGTTCTCTTCCATTAGAGCTATTAATTTGTCGTCTTACTGGAAAATGCTTTTTAATAATATATAAGACATGTGTATTCGCTATGTGCAAGTCCGGAAGAGCGACATCTAGTGTCATATATCAGCAAAAATTAGTAGCAATCTTAATGTATTACTTGTACGTAAACTGCAAATAAAATCACCTAAACTTGTTTATTTAGTACAATATTTATTGTAATGTGTATCGATATTTAACTTCGAAACATTTTTAATGGATTTTTAGTTGTAAAAACGGGTAAATATATGTTTTACGTTTAAATTTTGTCATTTGAACATTAAACATAAAATATTGTTTTGACGCTATTTTCTTGTGACATTTTAAAGTAATTACTATGTAAATGGGAATAAGCCACAATTAAATCTTAAAGTTGGCGTTTCAATTTCACCAAGTAACAAAAAAACAAAATTTGTTTAATTTACTGTTTGTATTTTGAGAACTATTTCCGAAGTGGAAACTGAATCGTCAATAAACGTCCTTTAACCTTTAATTATGGCTTATTCCCATTTAAATATTAAATTAAAGATAAAGGTTACTAAAAAGTAAACATTTCGAAAGAGCGACATCTAGTGTCATAGATCAGCGAACTTTTTAGTAAACTGCAAAAAAAACTTTAACTTTTTTGTCTAATACAATAATTACTGTAATTTATATTAGAAATCCACTTTTCTCTTTGCATTAATTTTTACTGATAATTTAGAAACGAATTGAACTTGAATTGACTATTTATTGTTGTATTTTTACAATTTATAATGCAGAATTTGCGAAATCCCATTTTCTTCAATAATAGTACTTATGAAATTTACTAATAAAAGTAAATATATTACAATTTACATCCATACATCTCTAGAATAGTACTGACCTTTAACAATGTTTTAAGTAAATGTCTCATAAGACTTATAATCCTATACGTGGAGTTTTTGGAAGATTGTGTGACGAAACTTGATTCTGTGATTACGTTTTCTGATCTTGAAGAGATATCTACTTTAATATTTTCTAATTCTTCCAATTTTCCAATTCCATATATTCCACTTTTTTGTAGCTTTATGTATTGTATATTTGATTTTACAACTCATTGACTTCCACCTGTTAATCGCACAGTTTCTTAGTTTGCTGTTTAGGATTTTAAAGTTGTTCATATCTTTAGCTGGGTATATATAAACATTAAGAAGTGTGAAAGTACAATAAAACAATATTTTCGGTTTAATGGATTTAATTATGTTACAATTATATAAAAAATACTTGGGGCTAATGGTATATTTTTAAAAAGCTTTCGGATCTTTTTAATTGTTCCAGTTAACATCTCCCCAATCTTCGTCTCCTTCATCAGCCCAGCCATCTCCATCAATACAGTCATCGTCATCGTCATCAATAGGTTCATCAGTAACATCTTCGGTAGAATTTTCAGTACTGTCATCATCATCATCATCACCATTGTTGCCTCCACCGCCGTTGCCGTTATCATTATCATCGCCGTCACAATCATTGTCATCTCCGTTGCCATTATCATCACCTCCGTTGCCCTTTCCTCCACCGCCATTTCCGTGACCATTATTTCCACCTCCGTTTTCGTTACCATTATCATCGCCGTCGCAATCATTATCATCTCCGTTGCCATTATTATCATCTCCGTTGCCATTATCATCACCACCATTGCCTTTACCTCCACCTCCGTTGTGGTTACCATTATCATCTCCGTTGCCATTATCATCACCTCCGTTGCCATTATCATCACCTCCGTTGCCCTTTCCTCCACCGCCATTTCCGTGACCATTGTTTCCACCTCCGTTTTCGTTACCATTATCATCGCCGTCGCAATCATTATCATCTCCGTTGCCATTATCATCACCACCATTGCCTTTACCTCCACCTCCGTTGTGGTTACCATTATCATCTCCGTTGCCATTATCATCACCTCCGTTGCCCTTTCCTCCACCGCCATTGCCGTGACCATTGTTTCCACCTCCGTTTTCGTTACCATTATCATCGCCGTCGCAATCATTATCATCTCCGTTGCCATTATCATCATCTCCGTTGCCATTATCATCACCACCATTGCCTTTACCTCCACCTCCGTTGTGGTTACCATTATCATCTCCGTTGCCATTATCGTCACCTCCGTTGCCCTTTCCTCCACCGCCATTTCCGTGACCATTGTTTCCACCTCCGTTTTCGTTACCATCATCATCGCCGTCACAATCATTATCATCTCCGTTGCCATTATCATCACCTCCGTTGCCTTTCCACCTCCGTTGTGGTTACCATTATCATCTCCGTTGCCATTATCATCACCTCCGTTGCCTTTACCTCCACCTCCGTTGTGGTTACCATTATCATCTCCGTTGCCATTATCGTCACCTCCGTTTCCCTTTCCTCCACCGCCATTTCCGTGACCATTGTTTCCACCTCCGTTTTCGTTACCATTATCATCGCCGTCGCAATCATTATCATCTCCGTTGCCATTATCATCACCTCCGTTGCCTTTACCTCCACCTCCGTTGTGGTTACCATTATCATCTCCGTTGCCATTATCATCTCCTCCGTTGCCCTTTCCTCCACCGCCATTTCCGTGACCATTGTTTCCACCTCCGTTTTCGTTACCATTATCATCTCCGTTGCCATTATCATCATCTCCGTTGCCATTATCATCACCTCCGTTGCCTTTACCTCCACCTCCGTTGTGGTTACCATTATCATCTCCGTTGCCATTATCATCTCCTCCGTTGCCCTTTCCTCCACCGCCATTTCCGTGACCATTGTTTCCACCTCCGTTTTCGTTACCATCATCATCGCCGTCGCAATCATTATCATCTCCGTTGCCATTATCATCATCTCCGTTGCCATTATCATCACCTCCGTTGCCTTTACCTCCACCTCCGTTGTGGTTACCATTATCATCTCCGTTGCCATTATCGTCACCTCCGTTGCCCTTTCCTCCACCGCCATTTCCGTGACCATTGTTTCCACCTCCGTTTTCGTTACCATTATCATCGCCGTCGCAATCATTATCATCTCCGTTGCCATTATCATCACCACCATTGCCTTTACCTCCACCTCCGTTGTGGTTACCATTATCATCTCCGTTGCCATTATCGTCACCTCCGTTGCCCTTTCCTCCACCGCCATTTCCGTGACCATTGTTTCCACCGCCGTTTTCGTTACCATTATCATCGTCGTCACAATCATTGTCATCTCCGTTGCCATTATCATCACCTCCGTTGCCTTTACCTCCACCTCCGTTGTGGTTACCATTATCATCTCCGTTGCCATTATCGTCACCTCCGTTTCCCTTTCCTCCACCGCCATTTCCGTGACCATTGTTTCCACCTCCGTTTTCGTTACCATTATCATCGCCGTCGCAATCATTATCATCTCCGTTGCCATTATCATCACCACCATTGCCTTTACCTCCACCTCCGTTGTGGTTACCATTATCATCTCCGTTGCCATTATCGTCACCTCCATTTCCCTTTCCTCCTCCGCCATTTCCGTGACCATTGTTTCCACCGCCGTTTTCGTTACCATTATCATCGCCGTCACAATCATTGTCATCTCCGTTGCCATTATCATCACCTCCGTTGCCTTTACCTCCACCTCCGTTGTGGTTACCATTATCATCTCCGTTGCCATTATCGTCACCTCCGTTGCCCTTTCCTCCACCGCCATTTCCGTGACCATTGTTTCCACCTCCGTTTTCGTTACCATTATCATCGCCGTCACAATCATTGTCATCTCCGTTGCCATTATCATCACCTCCGTTGCCTTTATCTCCACCTCCGTTGTGGTTACCATTATCATCTCCGTTGCCATTATCGTCACCTCCGTTGCCCTTTCCTCCACCGCCATTTCCGTGACCATTGTTTCCACCTCCGTTTTCGTTACCATTATCATCGTCGTCACAATCATTGTCATCTCCGTTGCCATTATCATCACCTCCGTTGCCTTTACCTCCACCTCCGTTGTGGTTACCATTATCATCTCCGTTGCCATTATCGTCACCTCCGTTGCCCTTTCCTCCACCGCCATTTCCGTGACCATTGTTTCCACCTCCGTTTTCGTTACCATTATCATCGTCGTCACAATCATTGTCATCTCCGTTGCCATTATCATCACCTCCGTTGCCTTTACCTCCCCCTCCGTTGTGGTTACCATTATCATCTCCGTTGCCATTATCGTCACCTCCGTTGCCCTTTCCTCCACCGCCATTTCCGTGACCATTGTTTCCACCTCCGTTTTCGTTACCATTATCATCGTCGTCACAATCATTGTCATCTCCGTTGCCATTATCATCACCTCCGTTGCCTTTACCTCCACCTCCGTTGTGGTTACCATTATCATCTCCGTTGTCATTATCGTCACCTCCGTTGCCCTTTCCTCCACCTCCATTTCCGTGACCATTGTTTCCACCTCCGTTTTCGTTACCATTATCATCGCCGTCACAATCATTGTCATCTCCGTTGCCATTATCATCACCTCCGTTGCCTTTATCTCCACCTCCGTTGTGGTTACCATTATCATCTCCGTTGCCATTATCGTCACCTCCGTTGCCCTTTCCTCCACCGCCATTTCCGTGACCATTGTTTTCCACCTCCGTTTTCGTTACCATTATCATCGTCGTCACAATCATTGTCATCTCCGTTGCCATTATCATCACCTCCGTTGCCTTTACCTCCACCTCCGTTGTGGTTACCATTATCATCTCCGTTGCCATTATCGTCACCTCCGTTGCCCTTTCCTCCACCGCCATTTCCATGACCATTGTTTCCACCTCCGTTTTCGTTACCATTATCATCGCCGTCACAATCATTGTCATCTCCATTGCCATTATCATCACCTCCGTTGCCTTTATCTCCACCTCCGTTGTGGTTACCATTATCATCTCCGTTGCCATTATCGTCACCTCCGTTGCCCTTTCCTCCACCGCCATTTCCGTGACCATTGTTTCCACCTCCGTTTTCGTTACCATTATCATCGTCGTCACAATCATTGTCATCTCCGTTGCCATTATCATCACCTCCGTTGCCTTTACCTCCACCTCCGTTGTGGTTACCATTATCATCTCCGTTGCCATTATCGTCACCTCCGTTGCCCTTTCCTCCTCCGCCATTTCCGTGACCATTGTTTCCACCGCCGTTTTCGTTACCATTATCATCGTCGTCACAATCATTGTCATCTCCGTTGCCATTATCATCACCTCCGTTGCCTTTATCTCCACCTCCGTTGTGGTTACCATTATCATCTCCGTTGCCATTATCGTCACCTTCGTTGCCCTTTCCTCCACCGCCATTTCCGTGACCATTGTTTCCACCTCCGTTTTCGTTACCATTATCATCGTCGTCACAATCATTGTCATCTCCGTTGCCATTATCATCACCTCCGTTGCCTTTACCTCCACCTCCGTTGTGGTTACCATTATCATCTCCGTTGCCATTATCGTCACCTCCGTTGCCCTTTCCTCCTCCGCCATTTCCGTGACCATTGTTTCCACCGCCGTTTTCGTTACCATTATCATCGTCGTCACAATCATTGTCATCTCCGTTGCCATTATCATCACCTCCGTTGCCTTTACCTCCACCTCCGTTGTGGTTACCATTATCATCTCCGTTGCCATTATCGTCACCTCCGTTGCCCTTTCCTCCACCGCCATTTCCGTGACCATTGTTTCCACCTCCGTTTTCGTTACCATTATCATCGCCGTCGCAATCATTATCATCTCCGTTGCCATTATCATCACCTCCGTTGCCTTTACCTCCACCTCCGTTGTGGTTACCATTATCATCACCTCCGTTGTCATGATCTCCACCGCCATTTCCGTGACCATTGTTTCCACCTCCGTTTCCGTTATCTGCATCGTTATCACATTCATCTTCATCATTGGTTTCAGTTGTATGTTCTGTACTACTATCATCACAATCATTTCCATTGTCTATACCACCATCTTCAGCATCATCTTTTTTATTTCCATTATCTTGACCACCTTTGTTGGTTCCATTATCAGGACCATCTTTGTCTTTACCATGATCGGAACCCTTTGTATCTATAGCGTTATCTGGACCATTCTTTTCGGTACCTTTATCTTGACCACCCTTTTCCGTACCATTATCAGGACCCTCTTTTTTGGTACCTTTATCTGGACTACCTTTCTCGTTATCAATTACTTCAGGAATAGAATGTGCTATAACAAAATAAAAAAATATTAGAGTAGGTAGACGTTTAGCTATTTTTTTTGTTTTTGTTGATAAGAATTCAAATTGCGAATTAAAAGATGTTGTTCTTTTGATGCCTTGTCTTTGAGTTTTAAGAATAAACGTCAGTAAAATTAAATTCTAGTTTCAATCTTTCTGCTGATATCAAGTATAAAGGAATAACTAGAATGCAAAGTACTGCTAAAGTAGACAAGTCGATATAATGATTAATCCCTTATATTTTTTATAATCCATAATATGTCATTGGATCCAGGAAATGGCAACTTAGTCAGTAAAGTTAGTAAAGCTTGAATGCTCTTTTACTCGTATATGTAAAACAAATTTATAGTATTTAAAACTTTTTTGTTGGCTCTGAATAATTTTGAAAATTAATAGCTTGTTTTCAAAAATTTAGATTGCAAAATTATTTTGCGAAAACTACTTGGTCGATTGTGGTCTATTTTGAATTTTAGAGGTTCTATGTGACTTTTAAATGCCTGAAAAACATTATTGAAAAAACATTGATTTTCTGATTTTTGGCCCTGTTTTAATGGTTTTTGGTAATTTTGCAATAATAATTGTGTTGTCAATTTGCAATCAATTCCTACTTGTAGAAAATTTAATTGCAAAATAATTAGGGAACTAGAAGAAGAGGATCAAGCTTAAGATTGAGGCATGGTGTAAATATAATACCGAATGGAGGAATAAAATCAAGAAAGTCTAGTCTCAACTTGAGCCTATTATGATAGTGTGTTTTTAATATTATTTTGTTTGTCTTTCATTTTAAATCTCAATATAAGTAATAGGTAGATGGCGCCATACTATGACTAACAATTTAGCAAAATAAATATCAGTTTATAGATTAGGCAACAAGGCAACAGCCATAACACACTGAATCGTGGTTCTCGTTCGATAACCGAAGTCAAGCAATGTCGGTTGCGGTTAACTCTTGGACGGGAGACCGGTTGGGAACACCGCCTGTTGCCATGTGAAAACTTCCGTCTCCTAAACGGCTGAACCGATTTTTATGAAATTTTACATGTGCATTCTAAAGATCTGCGAATAGGTTGATATTTATTTTTCATACCCCTAAGGGGTAAGAGTGGTTCACCCCAAACATTTTTTTTTAAGGAAAAGACAGTTAAGATTTGATTTCACGTAAAATGCGTCTATGTATCCGCTTATACGTATTTCGGCCTAATAGGCCTTTTCAGAACGGCAATTCATAGTCGTTTTGAACGTGAAAATAAATCTCTTCTGTCTTAGGAAGCAACTCTAACATGGCTTCGAATGGACGCAAAAGCGACATCTGATAATGAAATCCCTAAACTAATTTTCGAAGCCAAATTCAGATTTTTTTTACTTTATAAACATTTTTTATGTTAACGTTTTTATGATGTGGCATTAAAAAATACATACAGCCCTTAATTGTTACCCCTCCGTTACTAACCCTTTTTTAAGTTATATTAGAGTCACAGAGTTAGTTGCGATACTTCTCCGAAATGGCTAAACAGAGTTAACATTAATGTTTGTATTTTGAGAACGATTTCTGAAGTGGAAAGTGAAACTTCAATAAACTTATTTTAACCTTCAATAACTTAAATTGTGGCCATTAAAACAGTAATTCCTTTAAAATGTCACAAAACAATAGCTTTAGAACAATGTTCCATCAAGTAACGGTCGAATCCATCAATTATTTAGAACAATGTCTTCATATTGGAATAAAAAAACTAAAGTAGCCTAAAGTTTCTTTAGTGTCCCAAGAGGCAAATTTAAATGTAAAATCAATATTTTTAAAAGAAAAGTTAAAACTTACGAAATTGTGTGCTGTGTTCAATAAAAGCCAGTAGCACAACGGCAAATATTACAATTATTTTGGTATTCATGATGATCTTTGTTAAAACCAATGTATGAGGAAAACGTCGAACCCATGGAGAGTTACTGAGGAATGAGTTCATTGCGTTTTTCTCCTTTTTTATATATATTTAATATTTGCAGTAATTAATCCATTCACAAAGTCGAATCTTGGTTATTTGTTTGTAGTGGCTTTGCATTTCCGTATTCAAAAATAGCTCAGTTAATACAGGGCATTAAATATATCGCCCGATTTAGCCTGATATCATGATAAATAAACAATTCAGTCGGTATAGAGTCCAATGATCTATGTTCTTTAGTTTAATGTCAAAATTCACCAAAATAAACAATACCATATGTAAAAATTATATTTATTTATTATTCAGTTCAATGCCTACATTTAAATTGTCCACAACAACGATTCAGTCGAATTCCGCCAATAGATTTTTTTGAAGTGCTTTCAAAGATTGAACATTTTTGATATGTTATATTCAAGTAACAAAAATCAAATAAATTTTCATCTGTGATCAAGATTTCGATTAGTTTTGGTTTTGTGATACCGTAATAAGGAAAAATAAATAGCTAGAAAGATAGAAAGATTAGAAGATCTAATCGATTGAATGGCAAATAATATCTGGGTATTCGAGATGTGGTCATACAGATTGTATTTTCTGGTTAGATCAAGTTAACGAGAGAAGAGAATTATTGGAATAGGGTAAGACATTAATAGAAAACGCGTAATGTCATCTAAAACTGAATGTAGGTCGTAGTAGAAATAGAATAGGTAAGAAAACTGTAAAATACTTTTTTTTATTGTGGATTTACTCCAGTTTTCTGGAAACCTTTACTCGCTTGGAGTGGTCTAGCGGATTGGTACCATATGTTTGTGGAATAACTTGCTAATACCCAAAAAGTATTCTTCTTCTTATGGTGCCCTATCCAATTAATGGATATTGGCGACAGTTCTGGCATACTCCTCTCGATCTTGTGTGGCTAAAAAGAGTGTTTGTCCAATCTCTTATGTTTTTAAGCCATGAGTATTTCTTTCTTCCGATGGTCCGTTTTCCTTCTTTCTTCCCTTCCATAGTAAGCTTTAAGAACTGGTACTTGGAATTTCGAAATATATGACCCAGATAAGCAGTTTTTCTTCTTTTTATTATTGGCAGCAATTCTCGTTCTCTGCCCATTCGATTTAATACTTCGACATTTGTTGTGTGATCTGTCCAGGGAATTTTAAGTAGTCTTCTAAATACCCACATTTCAAAGTCCTCTAATCGGTTCATCGCATTTACCTTTATGGTCCAAGTTTCTTACACCATATAGCAGTATGGAGTAAATGTAACATTTTACAAAGCCATATCGAATCGTTAAGGTTGCTGTTGCTTAGCAAGGTTCTCATATTAGAAAATGCTGTTCTGGCTTGCTCAATCCTGCTACGTATCTCTATGTCTGGATCTAAATCTTCAGTTATCCAACTACCAAGATATCTGAATTTGGTGACCTTTTGGATGTTCTTATTGTTAACTCTTATATTTAATTACATATTTCGTGTTCTACTAACCACCATTATCTTCGTCTTCTATATTAATCTTCAAGCCCCGTCGTTCCCCAAAAGTATTGGTCGTCTATTTTTTTTTTTTTTGTAATTCTTGTGTATTTTTTTGAAGTTTAAAATTTTTAATTCATATGTTCTTTCTTTCTATGTGTTTTAGGTTGAGTTCTTTGTTTTCTTTATAATATACCTGCTCAAACAGACCCGATATAAACATCTTACTCCAGTTGTTAGAGACGAAAATGCCACTGACACTCTAAAAAGCGTGTGAACAAGCTTGATTTTGTTAAGAAGGTCAATTTTTGGACCCCAAAAAGATGCAAAAGCCACTCCTACCCCCAAACTTTCCCTTAAAATCCCCCTTGGAGGGAGGGAGGAAAACATCGATCTACCACGAATCTGTACGCCGTAGAAAATTTTGAACAAAAATTTTCTTTTTTATTGGTTTTGGATTGCTTGATCTATGCAGCCACGATGTAATAAATCCTGTTTGCTACAATAGCATACGGATACTATAAGAAATTCAAGCTCGGATTCTTAGCGGTAATAAGTGCTTTTCTGCATATAAAGGCTTAATGAAAAGTAAGTTACTGAATCGTGAGTCTAAGCGTAGAATCTACAAAACAGTAATTAGACCAGTGGTCACATATGGATGTGAAACGTGGACCCTCTCAACCACTTATGAAAATCAATTGAGAATATTTGAGCGCAAAATACTAAAGAAGATATTTGGACCAACCCAATGCAGCGATGGTTCGTGGAGAATTCAAAACGAACCATGAGCTGGATAAACTAATGCAGAGCGCAGATATTGTTAGATTTGTAAAGTCACAAAGACTAAACTGGCTTGGTCATCTAGAAAGAATGCCAGATAATCGAACTGTAAAAGTAGTCCAGAAATGGAAGCCCCAAGTAAACAGAACAAGAGGAAGGCCCCGTAAAAGATGGATAGACGACATAGAGAAGGAGCCTAAAGCCATGAACATCAGGCACTGGCGAAGGAAAGTACCCGACAGGGCAGAATTGTTAAGCAGGCCAAGACTCACAAAGGGTTGTAGCGCCATTAGAAGAAAAAGAAGATATACATATGCGCACATATACACTTCAGGGCCCTGACCAGCTTAAATTAATTTACAAATAAGGAATAGACAAATAATACTATATGCTAATACTAAATACTAATACTATTAATCTTTTTTCACAGCCTTAAGACATACACCCGGTTCAACACCTCGGAGGTTTAGACCTTGTGTAGAATGAACCGTCCTCGCAGAAACAACGCTTGAAGCGACTGGCGATTTTGAATGTAAGTTACGCGCGTGGAATCAATTTTTTAATTAAAATTTGTATCAACTCAACGGTAAAAATATCACTCGATATCTTTTGATCAGAGATCTTTTGTCCTAACGACAAAAATCAAAATGCGTTTTGAAGGTAAAGAGTGTAACTTTCGTACCCAATTTCTGCATTTTCCCGCAAATGAAGTCAATTTCTATAAATCTGTTAAATCATTAAACGTTGAACCATTTTTTACGATTCTCATTAGGTCAATAAAATGTATCACTTCCATTGACCAGTAACTATGGAATTGGAATTTCCGGTTTTAAAGCCCAATCTTCAAAACCTAAAACATGAAATTTCGATGTTGAGTCTTGGCAACAAATAGTGGGGGGGGGGGGCAGCATGTGAAATATGCTTATAAACAGTGTGCAGAATTTAAAATTTTTTCACTGCAAACGATCGCATGTCATGGGAAATGCCAAAGTCGGTATTGAGTAAAATTTGTAGCTGAAGTTGTGTAGTTTGGAAAAACGTAGGTACTTGTGTAATGGAAAAAGAGCAGTTTTAAATGTTTTAGATTGTTTGTAATGTGAAAGTTTAAATTCAGCGTTTTTTAGGCATATGTCAAATGTCTCACATTTGTTACCAAAATTCAAAACCAAAATTACATGCTATAGGCTTTAAAGTTAAGGCTCTAACAATAAAAATTCCATAGTGACCTGTCAATGAAAGTGATAAAATGGCACAAATCGCGCAACGTTTATTTATTTAACGCCCTTATAAAAACTGACTTCATTTGCGGCAAAATACAAAAACATGCATACGAAAGTGTCGGTAGGACACTCTGGTCAAAAAATATCGAATTTTAACTGTCTAGTTGTTACAAATTTTATTTAAAATTAATTAGTGCACGTAACTGACATTCAAAATCGCCAGTCGCTTCAACTGTTGTTTCTGAGAGAACGATTCATTCTACAAAAATAAAGCTAATAAATATTTTTGTTCAAAATATTTTTTTCCTGTGGCTACAATTGCCAATTTATAGGTTCAGTGGCATTTTCATGTCTGACGACTGCAGTATTTGAAGAATTTTATTTGTGAATTTTTATTTAATAATTTTATTGGGCCCCAAAATTGACAGATTTCTGTTAACATAGAGGTATTATATGTTATCAGTATTATTATTGTCAACACTCCTAATATTTGTGTTTTTTATTTTTTATTTAAGTAGTAATCCATTTAATGCTGTAAAGTTTATTGTCTCTTTTATATTATGACAAAAGTATCTCACTTATAAATATATAAATAATATAAAATAAAAAAAAGCATACATTCAAAGAAATTCATTTGGATTTTCCTTATTTACGCCTTTCGTCCTCATAACAGTCTTCATCTCGGTCGTCATCGTTATCTTGATTTGGTTTATTTTCCTCATTGTCATCATCTTCTCCATTCTCATCGTTCTCATTTGAACAGTCATCTTCCTCATCTTGATCCCCGTCGGTGACGGTTTTTTCGGTACTGCCTTCCGTGGAAACGTCATCGCAATCATCACCATCGGTATTATCGCCTCCATTTTCATTCCCACCTTCATTTCCTTTACCACTTCCATTTCCATTATCATCACCTTGTCCATTATCGTCTCGTCCGTTACCACCTCCATTTTCATTACCACCTCCTTGTCCTTTACCACCTCCATTTCCATTACCACCTCCTTGTCCTTTACCATTGCCCCCATTTCCTCCATTGTCGCCGTTGCCACCTTTATTAGGCCGTGCTGCAATGAAACAGAAAGATTTTAAGTTAGGCTTATTCCAATAGGTTGTTGCCTGCTTTAAAAAGTTTGTACATATCAAAATAGACCATCAATAATTCTATAATTGTTAGTTACTCTTTATTGATTATATCAAAGCTTTTTATTTATTGAACTAGACAAATTTTTTATCGGAAATGAGGAAATTACTAATAGTGGGGAATCATTTTTTTAGGACGTGTTTTTTTCATTTCTGTAACGTATCAGAACATTTACTTTTCTCGTTTAAACTAAGTATTTGAAAACTCACAAATATTCGTCCCAATAGTCAACGACTGATGAGCCTACGTCAAATCAGAGAAGAGCCAGACAGGAAAGACTCTTAAATGATAGCAGATAATTAGCGTAGAAGAAGAAGACCTCGATACAAAACTTCACTGGCCTTCCACATAGGAGTTTAGGACGATAAATCTGCACTCCATCTCCTACAAACGACTACATAGCCTGGAAACATGGCCAGAAAATACGGAATTATGAGTTGCGCTACATGGAACGTACAAAGGATAGGAACAAAATTAGATGAAATTGCTAATAAGCTTAAAAATTAAACATTGACATACTGGTCAACAGAAACCAAGAAAAAATCAAGAGGAAATTTAGACATAGAAGAATAAATTTATAATATGTCCCTAAAGAACAAAGACCACAGAAAGAAGTAGCGACTCTAAAAAACAATCACAAACATCGATATAAATAAATGAATAGATTGAATAAAAATGCACATGAAGCTTATGGGAAAAAGACTTGTTTTTATAACCAGTCTAAACACAAGAAGGCTTTTTGATAAAACAAAAAGGGTGATTGACGATAACAAAGCAAAGGTGATGTAAATAGTCAGATTGATAAAAAGTAATGGACAACATGGCGAAAACGTAATCAATGATAATAATAATAATAACATTAATATCGTATGACAACTTCAAGCTATATTGGGACCGCACTGTACTCACAGACCAAATAGTAGCACACAGTAGACCAGATCTCGTACTACTTAATAAACTAACGAGACAAACAACACTAATCGATGTGGCGATACCTAACAACAATAATCTGCGTGTTAATACAACGAAAAGAACGCCAAGTACAGAGATCAGGTAATACAAATAAGGAGACAATGGAGAATGAAAAGTACCCAGACGATACTTATAATTTTTTCTAATAATTGAGTCATTCCGAAGAACCTCCTAGAAAGCATAAAAAAGCTAGGTCTGAATAAAAATCTATATAAAATCACGAAGAAAGCTGTATTCCTCGCGACGTCCAGATGTGTACGAAAATTTTTGGGAGATACTCCAGCATACCAAGTCACCTAGGGCTCGATAATACGGAAA